ACTTGTGGTGTGAGAGCCACAAAAAGCATAGTGGTGGTGGAGAGGGCCGGTAAGATCTTTAAAATGTAGATCTGAAGTAAAATCTGATAACACTGCCCTTGCAATATCTACTTCAAAAATATACCAGTCACTAAGAACAAGTTATCAGACAGAGATGCGGTTCACATCATTAAGAAGCTGTTTTTACATTGCATTTTACATTTTACATTGATTAAAAACATAAAATAAAGGAGCTGCTAGTCAATGCACTTATATGCTTTTAACATTAGCTCAAAGCTGCAGCTTACCAGTGGGAGAATGGGCTGCCAAGACAAGAAATGTAAGAAGAGCTATCAAATTTGCGCATGTTTTTCACCTCTTCATGTGCACCCATGATAAGGTGCAAGTCAAACCAGGGGAGCATAAATAACCACAGCACACAAAAGTAGATCCTGGTGCTCATGTTCCCCAGGGAAGCTACGCACATACACCCAGCCATCCATGTGATGTAAATGAAAAGATTCAGTAGACCAGGCGACCCTCATCCATAACTACAGCAAGCACTGACCTTTTTGGGAATTTGAGCCACTTTAGGGCCTCCTATGACTAACATTCACACACATTCATACTACTATGGATAAATCAGAAATAAACATGCAGTTAGTATCTTGTCCAAGTATACTTGGGACCGGACCACCAACCCTCCGGTTAGTAGGTGACCTGCTCTACCACCTGAGCTACAGCCAGTATCACAATTTGACCCTTGTCATACTTGCTTAAATCCTTACGCTTGCTCTTATATTTTTTTATGCTCCTAACATCAACTCTGAGGACAAAAAAAAACACTTTCCCCGTAAAATAATTCTAAACTTCTTTTTTGTCAGTGCTCATATAATTGTGCCTGATCAGTGATGATATGCCTCTCTCTTTCTAGTCCCTGTCAGTATTCTCACTGTAGGATTTTGAATCAACTGAAGGTTTTCAGGAAGCTTTCAAGACAACCTCAAGAATATTCTTTGTGTATTATTCCACACTTCGCAGGGTTTTTTTGCAGATCAGTGAACCTTGGCCCATCTTTACTTGTAAAACCTTTGCCTCTCCGTGACATGCTTTTTTATACTAAATAAAGCCAGCTGGTTTAATCATTTGCAAAATGTTCTTCCAGCTGTTTCCTTTGAGAACCGCTTACTTTTCCAGCTTTTTGTTGCCCCTGTCCTAACTTGTTTAAGATATGTGGCTGAAATCAAATTCAACATGAACCAATATTTTACTCGAAAGGTTACAATGTATCAGTTTAAACATTTGGTATGTTTTTTATGTTTTACAATGCAAATTATTTTATTTACTAGATGTGCAAATCAATGAATTCTCTTTTGATTTCCTTTTTTCACAGAATCCCAACCTTGTTAGAGTTGGGGTTGTATTTCAACTGACAGTTAATGCTGTTTAAAAAACACTTTATTCTGCAAATTTTAAAAATGCTGTTTAAGGGTCACTATGTGGTAAAATAAGTGCTGATTTTTTTTGAGAAGTAAACTGAATAAGCCGCAGAGAAGTATAAAAGGCCCAGAAAACAGCACAAATCTGACAGCGTGGAAAACCATGAGTCCTGCCATCACCATCGCCCTTCTCCTGCTCTCCACAAGTAAAAAAGTAGCAATATTTACTCCACCTTTAAGATAACTGAACTACTTTTCTAAAGCATGCTTTATTTCTTAGCTTTTGTTGCGTCGTTGAAGACTCTGAAGGACCAAACTAAGGAGGAGCATTTTCCACAGCATGAAAAAAAGAAAGGTGACCACAACAAAGAGGAGGTGAGAAAGCTAAAATTTGACAAAGTTTCCCTTGTAGAGAAGCTTATTTTGTTATTTTGTGCAAATTGAAAACTTTTTACCAAAACTTTTATCTCAGATTCTGTGGGATGAAGTTTTTCCAGGCTCCTGCCGTACTTGCATGACTATTGTGTCCAGAGTGCAGAAGCAGATTGGAAGTGATAAATCAAAGGTAATGACTGTAATATATGGTGAACAGTACTGCTGTAATGACCTCTCAGAATTTCTTGTAATTTTTCAGAAATTCCACATAAAGAACCTGACAGTGCTGCCAATAAAATACCAGCATATCAAACTGTTATTGGATTGAAGTGGTAGGGTATAGGAAATTATTTAAATGTGTAGAAAAGTCTTCTTCAGCAAATAAATGTGACACTGACACAGAAATAGCCCTCTGGGGTTTGACATTTGGGAGGGGATTTTTAGATAATAGGAAGTTATATACAGTGCAGTCAGGGGCAGCACAAATGTGATCCCCTTAAACTGATTTTTTTGTAGTTTTATTGTCTCTTTTCCTCCTATAGTTATGGATTCTGTCACTAGTTAGCTAACATAAACAAATGTAAGTCTATTAGCTGCTTCACAGACAGTTGTATCTATGTCCGTTTTTCAAAACAGGGCATAGTGGTGTAAATTAGCCTTTATGTGTTAGCATTTCATGTCCTCTTTAAGGTCCTGCTAAAGCATTTGATGGGTTTAAACTTTGACTAGACCACTTCAAAACCTTCATTTTGCTTTTTGGGGTGTTTTTTTGTTTTGTTTTTTGAGTCATTCAGAGGTGGACTTGTTGTTGAATTTTGAATGACCATCCTGCCACATAAACCATGTGCACTTGAGCTTTGGGGCATGAACTAAAACATTCGCCTTCGGGATTTTTTTGGTAGAGAGAAGACTTTATCGGTCTATTAGTTACAATAAGCTGTCCAGGTCCTGTAACAGCAACACAGCCCCAGACCGTCATATCACCACCACCGTATTTGACCATGATGGCCTTTTTATGAAATAGTGTGTTCGTTTCATGCCAGATTTAATGGGACTCTGACTTCTCAAAAGCTCCGCTTTTATCTTGTCAGTGGGCCCACTGATCATAAAGATGTTTTTTGGAATATGTGAGGTGAGCTTTTGTAATCTTTTTGCTCAGCAGTGATTTTCACCTTGGAACTCACGCATGGGTCTCAGTTTTGCCCTGTGTCTTTCTTATTATTGAATAATGAACTCTGACCTTAACTACGGTAAGTGAGGCCGACACTTCCTTTGAAGTTTTCTGGGCTCCTTAGTGACCTCCTGGAGGAGTCAGTACTGTGCTTTTGGAGGAATTTTGGTAGGATGGGAAGGTTCACCGCTGTTCCAAGTTTTCTCCATTTGTGGATAATGGTTTTCCCTGTAGTTCATTGGAATCCCAAAGCCTTAGAAACCCTTTTCAGACTGAAAGAGGTCAATGAGCTGATTCTTTTACATCGTTGCATGATGTGTTGCTTTTGACACTTTTTCTTAGCTTACTGTAAGGATTTCTGGCAGTAATGAGGCCTGGGCGGGGTTAATGAAATTGAAGTCAGCTTTCCAAAAAATGTGGTTAATCAATTAAATCATAACTTAACAAGAGTGGAAATCATTTTTTCACACAGGACCTGGTAGGTTTGGACAGCTGTTTCCCCTAAATTAATGAAATCATCATTTAAAAACTGCATTTTGTATTTACTTGGGTTCTCGTTGTCTAATGTAAAACTTTGTTGGATGATCTGAAACATGTAAGTGTGACAAATATGCAAAAATCTAGAAAAGGGAAGGGGGCAAACATTTTTTGACGCATCTGTAGCTTTGTATATATATGCCACAAGCCAGCAGCCAGCATTATTGTCAAGTTTTATTAATGCTGTGCATTTGCTGTTTTTGTCATACTTTTTTCGTCTATAGTCTCAGTGTTGGACACATAATTTAAAGCTATTTTAATTTAACCTTTAAGAAACCTATACTGAAGCTGCTTGTTTACTGTTTTCACATATTTTTACTTGAAGGACAAAATCAGGAGGCTGTTGGATGGTGCCTGTAATAAACTGAAATTCAATTTCCTAAAGTCGGCCTGCAGAAAGATCTTGAAAACAGTAAAAAACAAGTTGATTGACGCCTTGACCAACGGCAAGTCTGCCAAGACCATCTGCACTAATCTGAAACTCTGCAAGGCCACCTTTTTATAAAGTTCTGAAGAACTTGTGATGCTTCAACTGTTTGTGTTAATAACACAAGCCTGTGTTCATATTTTCTTGCTTTTTCCCTCCCAATAAAAAAAAAACATATTTTTACTGTGATGTCATTGGTTTTCTTATACATATACGTATTATGAGACTCATATTCTGTCAACTATAGACTAGATGAAAATTAAAATAGTTGCTTTTGAGTGTGCATACTGGAAGCATATTGCCTAATTAGTCATCACCATAAAGCATGACCGTCTTCTGTAACTACTAAGCTATTAACAAAGCAATTGACTCTATTGATTAGAATTAGAAAGTCTTATTTTACTCATAATGTGTCCTGTTTACTTGCAATAAATAAAACTACATAATAATTTCACGTCTGACATATAATTAATCCACACAGGTTCCATTGGGAAGTTGCCTTGTCTTCTCCAAAACCTCTGTTGCACAGAAGCAATGAGGTGTGCAGATTTAACTCTTATCAGTAAGCAGCTAGTGAGCTTGAATTAGCAGCTAGTAAACCTGTGTACTGCAAATGCTGCAATTCTTTGAGCTTCTGACTTTAAGAGTTCTCTCTCACCTCTGATCTCTGACAGAAATGCGAAAGTCTACTTTCAAAACTGAGTCGCCTCACTGGACCCTTATAAGGTCGCACATTGCCTTCCAGGAAGTTATTAACTTATAGGCAGGTTGAGAAAATAGGCCTGCACAGTTACAATTACCTCTGTCCAAAGTCAGTGTTGGTTTTTGTTTATATATGACCACAAAACTGAAATACATATTTGTGGATCAATAAACTGCATATTAAAGGTTTAGAATAAGATTTACACATAAATTTATAGCATGATACAGTCATTGATTTTCAGGGGTTTTAACAATGAGGCAGGGACACTGTGACAGCCTTAAGCCATAAAAGGATCACTGTGTTCTAAATGTGGACAACACACTAATTGTTCTTTAGTGGGTGGGCGAGGTGGTGCGTGACCCAAACCACGCAAAATGTGTTTTCACATGTGGTTTGAATTTTACACCTTGCAATGAGGTGTGTGTAGAGCCCATGCACCTTTAACTGTATAAAAGCAGCCATAACTACAGATACTAGCATTACCTCTCAGTGGCTGCGATGGAAACGTCTTCCCTCCTCTTTCTGTGCCTCGTGGCAACATTTTCAGGTGTGTAACGAAAAAATTGGTTTGCATGAGAATCCGTATGAAACTGCCAAATCTTCTCTTTATGATTTAAAGTGTGATTAAGTATTTCTGTTTGTTTGAATCGCAGTGCGCGCTGTCCATGGACGGACCTTAGAGATCAGCATCGATGATGAAGAGGATGTGGACGTGGGAGTCTCGATGGGGGCAAGTGGGGTTAGTGTTAATATTAAAGAACTTAGGTTACACTTTATCAGTCCACCTTTAGATATCAGGAGTCACACTTTGCAGTCTTTGTGAAAAGCTTTTTCATGTCAAATTAATTTCTACGCCAACAACAATCAATGGATTAGAAATGAGAAAAACAAATGAATTTTGTTCATTTGTAACACAATGTGGGGACATATCTGACTTCTGAAACCCCAACTATGCTGATATTTTGAGGTTAACCACACACTATGTCCAACAAAACCATAACATTGCATGGTATTTAACGAGCTTGCCAAAGAAATGAGTATACCAGTGTATCCACGGAATATACTGAAACATGTCTCTAAGTAGGATAAATTCCCTGAATGACTTATCAAACAAGTTTTGCACTGGGGCTGGAGACTATCCCAGCTAATACTGGGTAAGATTAAGAGGGTACGCTGTGATCGGGTAGCCACTCACAGGGATGGCACATAGACACACACGACCATTCGCTCGCACATCTACAGCTTATTGATTAGAGTCACCAATACACCTAACATGCATGGATGTGTCTTATATTTGCAGCTTCCAGGAAAGTGCTGGGCTTGCAAGTGGATTTTAAACAAGGTGAAGAAACTTGCAGGACCAAACGCCACTGCAGAGGTAAAATGTCTCATAGAGTACCAGCAACAACTAACGGCATCATTCAGTCAGAGCAGTAATACAAGTTTCTCTTTCACAGAGCCTGAAGTCAAAGTTGCTCTCTGTCTGCGATGGTATTGGACTCTTAAAATCACTCTGCCGCAAATTTGTGAAGGTCCACCTTGGAGAATTAATTGAGGAACTCACAACAACTGATGATGTGAGGACCATCTGTGTCAACATGGGAGCATGCAAGTAAGTTCCCAGGGGTTCATCGAAATGCTTTCATTTGTCAGATGATTCACTTTGCAGCGACTTTAACTTTAGATGTTAAGTTTGAGACTGAGACCAAATTCAGCATGCAAACATGCCTTAATACTACAATGACACCGATGATACTGCAACCCTGATTTTACACCACTATTATTTTTCTCTCTCTTTAGGTCAAAGGAGTTGGAGCTGCTCTTTTATGCAGAGAATGGAGCTCCACTTATTGACGTTAATGAGCATGACTAACTTTAGATGTATGAATAAACATTGGAAAAAAAATCTCAGTAATGACTGAGAAGACTTAGCTCAAGTAATCATTACTTTTGACTTCAGCTTTGTTTCCAATCTGCATTTACTTACCTTTATTTCCTTTGCAATGCAATGTTTTTTTTAATTCTTCTGTCTGTATCTGTGCACAGCTAACACAAATAAACAGCTGAAATGATTACACTCACTCTGTTTTACTGTTGCATTTCACCAAACCTTAATAAAACCTCAATTTCAAAGTAGATGCTCTGATCAGGGATATGAATGTCAGCATTGCGACTACAAAGCAGAAGCACCCCCAGCTTTTTCAAGTCAACTCATACATGTAAGGGTCTTGTGGTTCTTGTGGTGACACTTCTTAGAATCGTTTAATGACTCAAACCACGCTTTTTCCTGTTCTCAGAGTGAAATATTAAAAGCAACAACATTAAAGCAGCCTTTTCTATGTGGAGTAAGGGTAAGGTTTTAAAATACATTGGACTGGCTGCATGAGTGGGTGGAGGGTTTCAGGAAACATAATATTTGGCGTTTATGCCTCACATTTTAGAGTCATAAATTTGCCAAAGAAAATCAAAGAAGTACTCATGTAAGTAATTAAAATGAGCACTTTTCAAAAGCACCCCTCCCCTAAAAAAAAAAAACCACACTAACCAAACGCAAGTCTAAGGAGATGAGCTTTAAGCTGTTTTTTAGACACTGCCGAGGACACAGATCTGAAGCACAAGTCTGGGGGCCAGTTTTACAAAAACTCTGTGGATCGAGCTGGTTAGATATGAGGACAAAGTGAGGACTTTGAGAGAAGAGGGGTTTATTTATCCTAAAACACACAAAAATATACAAAATGAGCTCACAATACAGGGCAAAAGAGGGCAAATGAACATAACTAAACTCAAGCCAAATAAGCAACTTTGCATAACTGCAAGCTAACTGCTAAACAAAAAAAGGTGACCTAACACACAAAGAACAAGAGCACTCTGAGAAGACAATGCCCCCCTGAGGGCCAAGGGCTATACTAAAACTTTGATGTTGTACGATGTATTTATTAGAACATGCTGGTATCAGCCTGCTTTTATAGCAACTGACCTTTGATCTGTGACCTCAAAGGATTATTACTATTTTCTTTTCTTTATCCATGTGATTGGAGCTGAATTGACTGAAATCTTTGGCTTCTATAAACTATAAAAACTTAAGATTTTCAGATATATTCACTCAGTGGGTGATTTTGTGAAGCATTACGGCGTTATTGTGATGTAATAAAGGTATCATATTAAAAAAATTAAGAAGTCTCTCCACGCCCTTTCATATGATATATTATCAATGTGGTTTCTTGAAAAAAAAAAAACATTTTCAAGATCAACTTTGACCTTGGGCTCTAACCATGAAGGTCAAGGTCAAATGGTCATTTGATGAAAATCAAAGACTAAATCAGTTTGATTTGAAAGTTACATCAAATAAATAATACTCAACACAACACTAAGCAAACAGGCAACTCATAAGTCAAAGAAAATTTAAGAAAAAATACTTAATTCTACCGCCTGTGACAGAGCTGCACTTGGTGTGATCCAATCAGCTCTTCCTGTATATTACACTGCTGCGTGGTTCTCTCTTCCTGATGCCAGGATCCCTCGGCAGCTGAAGGCTCCTGATCGAAGATTCAGCAAATGAGGTGAGGGGATCAATGCATTAGCTCACGTACAAATCTGTCAGGTGCACAAAGAAGGACTTCAATTATTTCACAAACACTGTGCATTTTTCAGAACATTTGAAAGGTTAGTGGTAACATCTGTGTCATGAACACTTCTCATAGCAGTAGTACTGGGAGTATTGACGCTAATCATAAATGCTTATGAATCACTGTCTGTAAGACAGAAACAAAGAATGGAGAACCATCATCATCATCATGGACGCACATCTCCCACCCCCTTGCATTTAAGTCACCAAAGCCACAACAGACAAGCAACTAAAAAAGAAAATGCCTTAACCTCTGTTTATTGGGTGAATAAACAAATGAGTGAATAAACACCATATAATGTTATTTCATGGTGGATTTTGTAGAATTATGCCTCCATAGTTCAATTCAATTTTACTTATACAGCACCAAATCACAACAACAGTCACCTTAAGGTGCTTTATATTGGAAGGTAGATCCAACAATCACATGAGCAAGCACTTTGGGAAGGAAAAACTCACTTTTAACAGGAAGAAACCTCTGCCATAACAAGGCTCTATGGTGTTTTCTTCACTTCTGACTCTTGCTTAATTAGTAAGAGTGGATTAATAGACTTATAATAAGCTGTTTTCCACGTCCTCCTTTCACACATCAGCACAGTCCAGAGCACATGACAGAAAAAATCGCAGTGCCTGCCCAGCTTTAGGTGTACTGTCGTCAGAGACTTGCACCGCAGTGTTGGCGTTTGTTTCCCTGTTGGCCATGCTTCTTGTTGTGGTCATCTGTTGTCGTCTGGTATTTTCTCCGCAAGCGACCTTTCCTCGACTAATGAGATGAGCGGTAATCTGAATTGTCATACTCGAATTGTCATAAGTGTGCTGTCAGCTCATTGGTCACAACGCAGGAGAGGAGCTGGGAATTATGTTTTCAAACAAAGCGTTAATTCCATTAACATTTATAGACTACTTTTGATTCTCACTGTATTACGGGACAAAGTGCGTCCCTTATTAGCTCAATACGGGACGTGTACTTTTGTTTCTAAATACGGGACGATTCCGTTTTTTAAGGGACGGTTGGCAACCCTAGTTGTGACAATCAGTTTCTGAGTGTTCCCTCAGTCAAGCTATGAATAATGGGGGTTTTCCCCCTCTCTTCCTATTCATGTCTATAAACTGGCAATAAAGGATTTCAAACTGGTCCAGTGATTACCTGAGTTTTATTCTTCTGGAACTTAATGAGCAGTTGAACTGGTATACCTAATGAAGTGGCAGGTGAGTGTATGGACTTGAGTTCTGATTCAAAGCTGTTAAACATCAGAGCTGCGCAGCCCGTGTTCTCTGAGTTTTGGTATTTTGTAGTGAGTCAAAGCATTAAAAACAGAGGCGTACTAACTGACAGTAATATACCTCAAAGTGGAACATCATGTGGCCTTTAAAGTATCCTGAATACAAATGGGAGGATTATGTCCCAGCCCTGCCCACAAAGAACCAATTACCAGGTGAAACAGGAAACACATTAACCAGTCATGCTGTTTCACTGATGCATGCAGAATATAGTTTCATGGCAGTTTGTGGTGTCTACACGCTATAATAAAAAAGTTTACTATTTCCTTTTCTTTGATTTACTCAGTCAATATTGTGAATTAGCATGGTATGTGTTCAATGCTCTCATGAGATTTACTGAACAAACACCACTCTGGATTGAGCCATTAAGAGATGTGATGTTTTGTAAAAATGTAACTTTCTGGGGAATTAAAAGGATCTTATTGTACTTTTTACCAAAATTAGCAAACAAGATAAATAGCTCCTGATTAGTAAACTTACATCAAGAAGGATTTTGCTCTAAATATTCAGACATACTTAGGGGCTGACGAACTAAATAGATGTATAGATATGTAAACATGTGCTTCTTTCATATAGGCCCCATGAGAACATCTCCGACAGCACCAAAGAATGTCCCCACCCCACAGAGGCAGATAGCATCAATCCGCAGGAACCCTCTTGTGACACGTAATGGAGGAATCACTGCCCTCATAGAGCTCAACCAGCAGGTACACGTCAATAGTTTCAACTTTGGACATAGAAATTTTGTGCTGCCACCTTTTTGGCAGCACAAAAAGGTGGCAGTGGAACCAGTCTTGGAGCTGGTTCCTTGTTTCTGTACCAGGACTGTGTCGGTGGGAAAAATGTAAGAGTGTTACAACAATTTAACTTTGGAATGTTTTTCTGACTCACACAAGTCAGGCTGAAAACACTGAAAAGGTCTGATGTGACCAGCTCAAGAAATCTTCACATCCTGTTAGTTGACTGTGGACATTAGTACACAAAATTTATATGTAGCTTTTTTCCTTAAAACGCTGCAGCTTTGTGAGCATGTTATGATATAATTTCTTCTCTTTTGTGTCTTCTATTTCTTTGTTTTTATTGTTGAACAACATTGTTGTTTCAGCTGCCTCCCTCATCGTTTTTTTTCCACGGTTGTTTCTGGTCATAGTTGCTCGATTTGAAGGTGACCGTAGACGAGCTGGAGAAGGAGAGGGACTTCTACTTTGGGAAGCTGAGAGACATTGAACTCATCTGCCAGGAGAACGAAAACAACGCAGTTTTGAGCAAAAGTAAAGTCATGGACATCCTGTATGCTACAGAGGTAAATACAGGCCAAAGTGTTTACTTACATTCAGCAATTACAGCACAGACCAGTAATTTGGGGGGGGTGGACTGGTCTCAGGCTTTCATCAAATATCTTGAGATATTACAAGAAATCAGACGATATGTTTATTGGTTGTTAGAACATTTATTTCCCACAGTATTCAGATTAATTCCTTATCCCCTGACTTTACCGAAGGCATCACATATTTATGTCATCTGCAGGCTGGTGAACATTTGAATAGCCAAATGTTCACCAGCCTGCGTTCAGAGTTACATGCTCCACGCTCCTTGCAGTCATGCACATGTTTTCAGGTAATGAGCCAATTATAATTCCTTGAATTCCTGATTATGGAATTTTAAACATTTTAGGCTGATCGTAGCCATGAGCAAAGTCCAGTTTGTTTACCTTGTTTGATCACTGTGACACGGTTCATTTGGATTCAGGCATGTGGTACGATGCTAACAGTGGCTGAGCATAGACCTTTGACACATCTGAAACTACAGCTGCTTCTATGACATAATAATAGTAAAACACAAGAGCAAAAGAGAGGACAGCTTGTCACTGCTTCCAAAAATGGCTCTAATTAAACCACAAGATGCATAAAATCACAGACCTTCTGTGTTCTCTGTGAGTGCTTTTCAAGCACTCCCCAAAGTTAGCAAGTGTGAGGCAGGAGGGGTGAGGTGCTGGGACAAACTCAAGAGTACTCTGGTACTCTTTGTTACGTGCTTTATGAGTGGAGACCAGCGAGGGAGTGGAGGTGGGTGATGGTTGTCCTTTCCATGGTACAAGACCCATGTCGAAAGAGTCAAAAATGAATTATACATTTATTTAAAGTGTGTTTGTAATATTACGAGGAAAATCCCATATTCCAGCTGTTACTGAGAACCTGCTGTACGTATCTCATGATTATTCTTCGATATGGCTGCGTTTTACTCCTTTCTGTAATCCATCACAGCATTTTGCAGCCTTTACCTAAATCTGGTTAGATTACCACAAAATTAGAAATCAGCCTGTCAGTAAAGCAATAAAGCACCTCAGTGAGGTACAGAGACATCTGAGTGAACACTGATCTTATCTTTTCCAGGAGGGATTTGCACCACCAGAAGATGATGAAATTGATGAAGGAGCACGAGGAGTACAGGAGGAGTGAAATAAAGCTATGAGTTTCAAGAAAAGTAACAGACCTCATCACTGTGTGCTGTCTGCTGCCGTGTTTTTACAGAGATATAGACTTTATTTAATCCCACACTGGAGAAATTTCCTTGTTACAGCAGCACAAGGGACAGGAAGAAAAGGTAAATAAGATACATAATAGAAAAAAACAAAAATAGAAAAAAAATAGCCAAAATACTGTACTATGCACACATGGTTACTATATACAGTAAAATACACCTAGATTTTACTTTTTTATATGTGCATAAAGCGCAATAACAATGTACATGCATTTTTAAACAGTACTTCTCCTGTCTGGGTGTGGTACAGCCTGACTGCTGTCGGGATGAAGGACCTGTGCAGGATCAGTCACACCGTGGCTGTTAAGTATACTACTCAGAGACCACATAGTTTCTTGTATTTCCTGTTTTTTATTCATTAGGAGCAGCGTTTTCTATTTACATCATTTTTGCTTATGCAAATCAGCAGCATACTGATCACATCACACACACAACAGTCAGGCCCAGCACATGTTTGCTAAATAGGGATGGGTATCGTTTAGGTTTTATCCAATACCAGTACCAAACCGGTACTTTTGAAACGGTGCCGGTGCTTAAACGGCATGTAAACTACTTTCCTTTTACATTTTTAGTGCAATAATTTTTAAAAATTCATCAAAACATACAATTTTCAAATGTAGACTCCTCATCTTAAGAGTAACATAGCTGTCCTCTGCGTAAGGACTTGTCATCGTTCAGCCTTCCAGAAAATGGAATTACAGAGGCTTTGGTTATGAAATGTAGTACCGGTAGTTTTTTCTTCAGTTCCATTATTGTGAAAGATAAAAGTGTTATTTCAGTGTTGAGTATCTGTGCAGGTGCCAATTTTCCTGAAGCACTTGGGAATTTTGTGTGTTTATTTTCTGTGCTTTGCAGGCTGAGTTAAAGTCTCCTGCAGCAACCCTGAGTCTCATTGCAGATATTCTGGCTCGTATTGCAAACACAGACAGAGGATTAGCGCTCTTCTTATTTGAGAAGAATCTCGTCGCAGCCCACAGTGAGAGGTGAGATGTTGTGATTAAATTCGCAGCGTCGTTTTGTCTTTCTTGATAGTAATGAATAAATTACATTTTCCTAACTTAGCTGGAAGATTTTAGTACAGAGTTAAATTTGCATAGCAAATCCTGCTTATTCTGCACCGAGAGCAGAACATGAGGGTGCTGCTGGTTTGTGAATAGCTGGGGTTATATTATACTACATTATATTCTGTTGCCTGACAATGACTAGTCTGCGCTTTAGTTTCCTTCAGTCTGTCCAGAAACACATTCTATTGATGTGAATGACCAAGAATGTATTTACCAACCACCTATGGCTTCACTTCTGTATGTATGCTTGCTCATTAAAAATGTGAGTGTATGAAAGTGCTTTGGAGACCCCAAATAATTTTTGTTGCTCAAGGAATTGATGTAGATGTAGCCTTGGTTCTGAAAAGTTAACCCAGTGCTGAGGTGCCAGTTTCAAGAGTAAGTCAGATGTGTACACTGCTGAGTTGTTCCATTGCCTCAGCAAACACTTTAAACAACGACTTTATTCGTTTTATTAGTTGCTAGTTTCAGGTCTTATTAAAAACCTCCAGTGTAGGCATTTAAAGCCACAAATTGAGATTGCTATAAATACAATCTAAAATTCTCATGCTGTGGATCTATAATAAACATCTTTGTCTTTTTTCACCCTTGTCTGCAGAACCTTTGCTGCTCATATCATCGTACAGTTCACCCAGAGGCTGCTCGACAAGGAATTGCCATCATTGTGTGAATCTGATATGCCCCATTCATTATGTGGAGCATTTATTTTAGTTTGTCAGCAGATGTACAACACCTGCGAGGGTCTGCAGGTTCTACGACCCTACGGCCTGCACAAAGCTTTAGCTGCTGTGTGGAAAAAGGTACATGTACCTCATTTTTGTTATTTGCAGAGACTTTATTATCTGACATGGAGCTGTTATAGA